GCACCATGGTGGAAGTTCGGACTTCCTTCATGGCAAGTGAGTGAAGAACCAGGTCCCACAGTCCCTTCCAGTGCCTGTCCCCAGTGATCCCAAGACTGTCCAGAGGCCTGCCCCTTAAAGTGTCCACCTGGGGACTTGGCCTTTAACTTGCAGGCCTTTGGAGGACATTCAGGATCCAAACTATCGCAGTCCTTACCATGATGGCTCCTCACTCTCCTTTTTTTTTTCCTTTGGGACATTCATCTGGCCTTGTGATATCAATTACTCTTTCTGTGCTGATTCCAAATCAGTCTAAGTTTGTTTCTTCCTCACAGTAACCTCATGTAGGGGGAGAAATTCATTCAAGTTCACCCAGGGTGGTATCATATTCAGTACCACAGTGTCATACTGAAAGTCCAGACCAGGAAAACTGGGAAGTGTGGTGACACTTGTGACACAGGTGCTGTTGGCCAAGGCAAGTTCATTATGAAAAGGATGTAGCTTGGCTGACAGGACTTCATTTGCACAGGCTTTTTTAAAAGACTCAGAACAATTCTAATAACATCTTCACATGGTTTATATGATTTAAGAAAACTTCACAAGTAAAATAATTTAAGCACAATGACTTCTTAGAGTTCCTCTTGCCTTGGGTGGTGTTGGAGTGGCTCTAAACACATTTTTGTTTTGGAATACAATTTTCAGCATTTCAAAATATATCCTTTGCCATGATTTATTTTTTCATTTTAAATATTCACTTTTATACACAAATTTTTATTGGTAATTTTATATTCTTTTCCTGAGGGATGTAAATTTCAAGACCTGCAAAATCTGGGCCTATCTCTGACTACTAGTTTCCCCATTTTGCACTTAAGGAATTAAAGCAGGTCAGACAGCTAGTAACCAATAGACCCCAGTTCAAATCCTGGTCTCAGAGCCTGCATATCTTAAACCATTACTCTCTCTCAACCATTAAATAATGGTTTTCTACCATTATGCTCTTTATTAACATATTCTTAGCTACTGTGTTATTATCTCTATCACCTACTATTAGTTGATACTACTCCAGTTGATATTACTCCAGTTAGTTGCTATTAGGCCAGTTAAACTCAAGTCTAGAGGCATCAGAGTCTGACTTATGACCCAAAGTAATATCTTAGAATGTGACAAAATGAGAATTGCATCATTGTTTTTTGGTGTTGTATAAATGTCGCAAAGTGTATTTACACAAACTATAATGGTTACAATGTCACTAGGCAATATAATCTCAAGGAGTCACTGTTGTACATACAGGTAGTTGTTAACTGAAACTTCGTTTATGCAGTACATGTTTATACACAACATGTACTTGGTAATAGGGTCTTTAAAGAGGAAATGAAGTTAAAATAAGGCCCTCATGCAGTGTGATTAGTGTTCTTCTGAGAAGAGGAGATTAGGACACCAACATGTAAGATTAGATGACCTTTATGATTCCACTTAGCTCCAAGTCTCCTAAAGTCTAAATCCTATCTTTTCCAACCTGCTGTTCAGTCTCAGCCAAGGCTTATGCTGAACGTGCTGGCCCACTGCTTGTCTTCTATGTAGGTTACGCTCCCACTTACAGAAAGGCAAAAAGTAAAAGGCACATAACCATTTAAAGAAAAACAGGTCTCCAGGCTTCATGAAAAACTGAAACAATCTAATACGTGGTCCACTGCAAAGTAAATATTTTACTTGGCAAGAGTAAAGCCAATCTGCTTAGCATGAAGTCTATCAAAGCCTTTAAAAATACAACATGCATATTCTTGGATCATGTGTACATCATCAAATACTGAAGGCACAGAGAAAAATCAAGGCCTAAATAAAATTTGGGAATATTTAAAATCAGTAAGCTAGGAAAAAATAAGTAGACTATGAAACACCGTAGGAAGTTAGTGGTTTTCAAAGCAATAATAAAAACTTTATTTTAAAAGCTGACTGAAAAAAAATCTTACCAATCAATAAAAGCACAAAAAGGAAGGCTGTGTTTTGAGATTACCTGGATCTGTGCCCTATTTCCAGCTGTGATATTGGATATTGCCCAATGTGCTTCCTTTTTGATAGATTCTTTAGGGCTACTCAGCAAATGCAATAAACTCTGAAGAGCCGAGCAATTCAAAATTACCTGTGTCTGAATACCATCCCCTGTGACAATGTTTCCCACAGCCCGAAAAGCAGAAGAAACTACTTTATAATCATTATGCATCAGTAGCTCCACAAGTCTCCTACATACTCCTGCATCAACGACTGCTTGAATTTTATCACTGGGTCCATCTGATAGATAGGAGAGGGCCCAGCAGGTATCAGCCAATACATCAGTGTCATTGACAAAAAGCAACCAGGAAAGCACATTCAGGCAAGGGGAAACCTTTGCAAATTCTGGAGGTGGACCTTTCCCTCTACAGAGATTAGACAAAGCCCATACTGCATTCCGGGTCATGGTCAGGTGGTTTTGTTTTGAAAATAACGGCAAAAGAGGAGGAAGGATATTGCAGTCCAGGACATAGTCCCTGCACATGGTACCATCTCCAGCAATGTTGCCCAGAGCCCAGACTGCCTGTTCCTGGACATCTTCAAACTCTGAGCTGAGCAATTCTATGAAGATGGGCACTGCTCCTGCCTGAATCACAATCTGGGTCTGAAGAGAATTTCCTGAAGCAATGTTTGTCAGTACCCAAGCTGATTCAAACTCCTATCAAGTTTCCCACTCCAGGTTGAGGTATGCCTGGTTCCCTTTCTCCATTTGGATCAGGACTCTGTTGCCGGCCACTTTGCCGGTTCCACTCTGGTTCCTAGCAAATGCCAGGCTCACCTTTTCTGGATTTCTTGCTTTTCCTCTGGAAGGAACTGCAGTGTACAATTCTCTTTTCGTTTGAGGAATTCCACAAACCTGGCCACAACTCCTGGTGTGCTGATAACTTCATCAATAGGTGGGTTAGGTTCTTTTGAAAGCAGTTTTCTGAATTTCTGTGTTGCAGAAAGTTGTTGCTCTGGGCTATTAGAAAATATCATCTCAATCATGTCAGAAGTAATAATACCACCTGGTCCCATCTCCATGTTATTGATCTGGGCCTCATGAAAGCCACCATCTGACATAACTTCTTCTTCTGTAGCAACATTTCTTCGCTTGAATAACGGCTCGGGGCAACCGATCCTGGTGCCACTGCTAGGGTGAGGTGCTCGCTCGCCGGCCCGGGCCCACCCTACCTCTCCCGCTCACAACCTCCCAGAGCTGGTCC